GGTTTAGTAAAAGGGAGGACAATACCCTGGCACCCCGAAGCAGAAAAAAAATTCTCCTGCTAGACCCGGTTAGAGACAATCAGAAGAAGAGCAAGAGAGGCAGGAGAGAGATGGTGCAGCATCTCATAGCAAACATCATCGGTTCCAACCAATGTACTGCCAGACCAATAAAGGGCAAGTTCAAGTTCCACCAGTGTAAGGGGGGAGATTATTGTCATAGAGACGATTGGCCCAAAAGGAAAGAGGCAAATGCTCTGCTTGAGACTTGATGGCTAAGAAAGCAGGGAAAGAACAGAAGTGCTGGATGCATGAGAAAAGTTCTCGCTGAGAGTACTGGCTATGCTCTGTACATCAGCAACTTCCATCAAGGAAAGGGGATGGGAAGCATACCTTCTGAATCTTGTCCCATATGACTTTGGAACTAGTGGTAGAAGAGATGCTAGTTGTAAACTTTATCCAAGGTTCCTTTTGGTTTTGACATCTGACCTGCCAAGCATGGGCACGGGCCCACATGGAAGCAATGCAGTGATAAAGATTGGGTTACCTGCAAAAGGTATCCCAGGCCTGTTTCTGAGCTTTCCATGCCTGCTGGCAGGACGGAGACCATCATGTATGAGGATATTGTGTGAAATGTGTCAAGGTTTTGGGAATAGAATGAACAACTGCATGAATGATGCAATCAGTTATTGCCTCCACACAGTCATTAATAGATGGCACATTAATGACAGCAGGATCAAGTTCCAAGAGAGAGGCAAAAGAGAGCCAGTTGGCCTGGTCCAACTTCCAACTGGGCAATCAGGATCGGGTGGCACTGACCATAGCCAATCTCCCTCAAAACAATAGGAAAATGATCACTGCCCCATGTGTCACTGTCAACCCTCCAAAAAATTAGAGAAAAGTGAAGGGGAAACAGATAACTAGATCAATAGCAGTAAAAGACTGACTAAGTACATGAAAATAGGTAAATGAACCAGTATTGAAGAGAGAAAGGTTGTGAACCAAGAGCATACACTCTGCTGAATGACCCCTCCCATCAATATCAGCACCACCCCGGAGGGGATTGTGTCCATTAAAGTCTCCCAGGATGACAAATGGGGTCAGCAACTGTTCTATGAGAGCATCAAGTTCTGATTGATCATAAGTCTCTCCAGGAGACAGGTAGAGAGAAAAAACAGTGATGGCATGACCAAAGGAGACATAGGTGGCTACGGCCTCCAAAGGTGTATCAAGTGGCACAGACAAAGTGGACACATGCTGGTCGAACCAGCAGTGCCACCCCTCCATCACATAATCTGTCATTCCAGTATAAAGAAAACTGCAGAAAGGTGAATGTATCCATAGATTTCAGGAAAGTTTCCTATAAAGAAAGACACACAGAATTGATCAAGGCCTTAATGTCATCCAGATTAGAACAGAAACCTTGACAGTTCCAATGTATCAAAGTAGATATTTTTATTTAGGTGGAGGAGAACTGGGCAGAGAACACTTCTGTTTACGACCATGCCATTTTTCTTTACTAGAAGGAGGTCTGTTGACCTCCATGGATCCTGCCCTGGATCAAGTGGGCAAACATAAATTTTTGTGTGTCACATGCTATGTTAAATGCAGCACTGGTTCAAATTAGATGTTTGTGATGTCAAAATACAAAGTCTATAGTTTCATACAAATTAGGAACTCAAATTATTGATATTGGCAAGCTAGAATATAAAATAAGAACCTCCCATCTTTTCTTTTTGCTGAGATATTGCTCATTACTGAATCAAACGCAGTGGCCCAGCTCACCTCTTTCAATTTTTGGAATGGTCTTTTATATACACTTACTTCTATATATGACATGTGAATAACCAATTGAAAGCTCAGAATGCCCCCTAGTGGCTTTCTCAGTCATTTTCAAAAATAACAATGTTATATTTTCAATACAAGACAGCATAGAAGTAAGTTGAGTC